CAAGAGAATCGCATCAAAGAAACACCGTGCAAATCATAAGGACGTATTCATTTTTTTTCGATGTAAAGCTTTCGTGACTGTAGGGATTCATCTTCTTGGTTCTTTCGGTAAAGTCACGTAGAAGGGAAATGATAAAATAATATAAATAAAACATAATTAAATAATTCTCACGACGTTTCGGCCACAACGCAAGCAGCCGTCCTCAGGTGAAGAACAGGTCTGTTCATTCAGACACTGTCTTTCCGACAGACCTGTTCTTCACCTGAGGACGGCTGCTTGCGTTGTGGCCGAAACGTCGTGAGAATTATTTTATTGTTTTATTTTTATTATTTTATTATTTCCCTTCTACGTGACTTTACCGAAAGAACCAAGAAGATGTATTCATTGTTAAGCACCGTGAGATATTATTTTTATTGTAAGATGTTTCATCAAGGAGCTCGCTATTGTCGGATAAAGATGACGCTGACTGGATTGCAGATCCAACACGTTAGAAACTAAATTTGCATTTGATTATTTATTGAGCTGAATACAAGACGTAACATCCAAAAAAATGAACGAACTTTAAACAAACAAATTACTTCCGATGCCTAAAACAACTCAAATGATATTTGAATGTACTTATCTAGGTAGCAATTATCTCTATTTTAATAAAACAAAGTTGAACATTATTGCGAAGGGGCGGACATTTTAATTGATAGTCTTCCACGTGAAATTTTCATGCCAAATGAACCAAGTTTAAACTGCGGTATTTTCACGTAAAAAGAGGTGTTTTCTTTAGACAGCACGTTTCATCATCATCATCGACAACGCCAGCTGTAGTATCTATGTATGTTGAACTTCTTCCGCAGCGTACGTAACCAAACCGTGCTAATCGGAGGTGACGGGGGAAGGACAACAAACTAAACACAAAAAAGCAGTGCTTTTAGAGAAGTGAGATTTCGATGTAGGTTTAGCCATGCGCTCCGTCATTAGTTCTCCGCAGTCAGAGCGGCCGGATCCGTGTCTATCCTCCACCTGTGCAGGAGCTGAGCGCAGCGGCCGTGACATCATTAGCGTCGCGATGATTCACCGTCATCCAGAGTTTACGGGGGAAGTGAGAAGCCGAGGAAAGGATGCTCAATTGAGTAACTGAAAGGAAAGAAAAAAACAAACAGATCTTACTCATCAGTGCTATACAGCGTCGTCGTTCATGCAAATTGCAGCTCGCAATCACTGCGGAACCACAGACGAGCTGGAAGGCTGCCAGGCGGCAATCGGGCGCCTACAATTGCTCTGCAGTGCTCTAAATATGACGATGTTTTTAGCCAGTTCGTGAGTGTTTATACAGGCGGGAGGAAACCGGAGCAGCCGTTGGAAACCCTATGCATGTGCGAGGGGGCAACGCTCTATCCCATACGGAACGGGACAGGCGATGTCGGTCCACGCTTTGCTCTACTCCATTTCTGCCGGCGAGACAGGGGTAGGCCACCTCTTCCTCAACGCCCCCCCCCCCCCCCCCGGGCGAGAAATTTTTGTTTTTTGTCATTTGTGCGGTGATCCACAAAACCCATCGCTGTCGCTCCCGCCACAGTGCCGGGTGACAGGCAAGCCACGTGCTCAGCCAGCACGGCCGCCCGGCGTGAAGTGCCGTGCCACTTGACGTTCATCGTTTCTTTTACTTTGCTTCGCTTCGGCGAAAGGCGACGTCGCGGCAGTGAATCGACCCGGTTGGCGGCCGACGCGGCCGTTCTCGCGCCCGCCACGCAAACTCGGGCACGACATTTGTGTGGGGCGACGCAGCGCTTGGGAAGGAAGGGGCGCGAACGAGCAGTGTCTGAGTGTCGATGATGACGTCCCCCCGGCCCCCCTCCCCCCGCGGTCTCAGCAGCAGCTGGGATAGCAGCTCTGGGTGGTGCTCAATCACGACACGACACACTGACGAGAGGACATGATAAGAATTCATTGCTCTGGTTTAGGTAGCGCACCTGTTCGCCCGTGGCCACTTTGTTTGCCAAATGCGGCCTCGTCAATGCCCCCCCCCCCTGATATAATCTGCTCGGAGCTCCCTGCGTGTGAGAGATGCCAAGGTGGCTAGGAGATGTTTGCTGGCTCGCCTGGTATGCAGGAGGTCGTGGGTTCGATCCCGACCCTGACGCCTGCCGTATATTTTGAATTTGCGGTGTCTCTCTCTCATCATCATCATCACGGTGGCAAGGAGATGTTAACTAACTCGCCTGCTATACAGGAGATCGTGGGTTCGATCCCGACCCTGATGCCTGCCGTATATTTTGAATTTGCGGTGTCTCTCTCTCATCATCATCGTCACGGTGGCTAGGAGATTTTAACTGTCTCGCCTGCTATGCAGGAGGTCGTGGGTTCGATCCCGATCCTGACGCCTGCCGTATATTTGGAGTTTGCGGTGTCTCTCTCTCATCATCATCGTCACGGTGGCTAGGATATGTTAACCGTCTCGCCTGATATGCAGAAGGTCGTGGGTTCGATCCCGACCCTGACGCCTGCTGCTGTATATTTTGAGTTTGCGGTGTCTCTCTCCCCGTGGTCGCGTGGATTTTTCTCCGCGTCCTCCCGGAGGTTTTTTCCCCCTCCACATTTAGAATCTACACGCGTTTAGAGTATTTGGCTACTATACATTTCCACTTGATAAGCCACTTCGTTGAGCGATCGTTTGTGGCCAGGTCACTTCTGAAAAATAGCTACATAGCTCAGTGGGCCTTGCCTGGTAAAATAAATTTTAAAAAGTTTAGTTTATAGTTTAGCTTAGCACGTGGCCTGTAGTCCTGCAGTGGTGGGTTTGGTTGATCAACGCACAAATGACAAAAAGCACTGCGAGACTCCCTTCCCGTGGGCATCAAGGAGGAGCCTTGCCGCTGGCTCGCCAGCACAAATCCAGTACGGGTAGAGTGTGCACTGATGTCACGGGATGCAGCGTTTCCCCCTTGCGCATGTCAGTTTTATCTCCGGTCTTGCTCCGGATTTCTCCCACGTGAAAAAAATGAACACTCATTCACTTGGCTGAAAACATCTTAGCATACCTAGAGAACAGCAGAGCTTGGCGGGGGCGGATTTGGCTTCAGCTCATCGGGTGGCTGCTGACTTGCCGTCCTTCTGCGGTTCCTCCTCGCGGCTCCGAGTCGTTCTCTCTCTTTCTCCGAGAGTTACGAGCGGACACGGCCAGCCGGCGGCCCGTTACACGTTGATATTATAAATGTTTAATCGCATTTGTGTGTTTATGTGTAATCGCATCGTGTGCTCGTGAATCGTGCGTGTTAACTTGCGGCGCGAAACCAATGCCGCTGAGAACACAACCACAAAGATCGCTCCCAGAAGGCACTGCGTGCCTGACGTGATGTGTTAAAAAAATAGAAACATTATCTGGAGACATATTCTTAGGTTCTTTCGGTAAAGTCACGTAGGTTAAAAAATTCAAATTTTTAATTAATAAAAGTAAAATAAAAATAAAATAAAAATCACCACGTTTCGGAGGCAACACAAGCTTCCGTCTTCAGGTGGAACCGTCACAGCACGACTGCTGTATCAAGTAAGAGAATATGAATCCTTGCAGTCACGAAAGCTTCAAATCTATAATTATCTGTAGAGACAAACATGTGAAGGGGGTGGTGCATTGTCTGATTTAGTTTTTAGTTAGTTGATTATGTTCTGCACAACGACGCCCATGATTGCTTTGTGTTATGTACACTATGCAAAAGAATTGCATATCGTGGGTTCAGTGACCTTTGCATCCACGAGAGCGTGCTGCTTCTGGCACAACGCACGGCGAAAAGATTGATTCTTGAATTGAATCACGACTCCAAATCGTGACAATTCATCAAACCGCGGGAGCAGGGTCATGGGGGCATGGGGGGGGGGGGGCATGGGGGGGGGGCGTGGGGGGTTGTGTGTGTGGGGGGGGTGCAGAGCAGAGTTCCTTGTCGCCTCCCCACCCGATGGGTGGGTTGCTCAACGTGGCCACCAGTTGCACGGTGGCTAGGAGATGTTAACAACTTCACCTGGTATACAGGAGGTCGTGGATTCAATCCCGACCCTGACGCCCACCTGTATATTTGGAGTTTGCGTGTCTCTCTCTCTCCCCGTGGGCGTGTGGATTTTCCTGCGGGTCCTCCGGTTTTTCCTTCCGCATTTAGACTCAACATCACCACGCGTTTAGAGGATTTGGCTGCTCTAGATGTCCACGTGATAAGCCACTTTGTCGAGCCATCACTTGTGGCTTCTATAAGAGAGCTGTATAGCTCAGTGGGCCTTACCCGGTGAAATGAAATAAAACTGATTTCGTTGAGTTACTATGTTTAACTCCTTGGGGCAGTGTCCCTGTAATAACATCACAGCGACACCGGTACCAGATGCCAATTCCCGAACCGTCCGGGGTCAAACCTACACTGAAAACGCATTTCTTTAGAGCGGCTTTTGTTGCGTTCAGTTTGTTGTCCTTCCGCTTAGCACGGTTGATTAAGTACGGCGCGAAAGAAGTTCAACACACACACAGACACAAAAAGTATATTGTTTGGCATTGTGTCCGCGCGCGTTGCGAGTTCTTTTCGGGCAATTCCATTGGTCGACTTGACCTTGACGAGCACCTGACCCTCCACCGCCGCTGCTGTGTATCTCTGTGTGTGTACGTACGTGTGTGTGTGTGTGTACGTACGCGTATGTGTGTGTGCACGTGTGTGTGTGTACGCGTGTGTGTACGTGCGTGTGTGTGCGTGTGTGTACGTGTGTGTGTGTACGTGTGTGTGTGTGTACGCGTGTGTGTGTGTATGTGTGTGCACGTGTGTGTGTACGTGTGTGTGTACGTGTTTGTACGTGTTTACGTGTGTGTGTGTACGTGTGTCCGTGTGTGTGTGTACGTGTGTGTGTACGTGTTTGTACGTGTGTGTGTGTACGTGTGCGTGTACATTAACGTGTACGTGTGTGTTTCACGTGCACCTCTCTCGGTGTGATGCTGGCGGCGCGTGCGTGTGTGGGGGGGGGGGGGCGACACGCAGGGCGAGTGCTCGCAGAAGTGCCACGACATCTTCGTGGTGGAGACGGTGTGCGTCGGCTGGTTCTCTTTCGAATTCCTCCTGCGGCTCATCCAGTCTCGCAGCAAGTGGCGCTTCCTGCGAGACCCGCTCAACTTAATCGACGTGGCGGCCATCCTGCCCTACTACGTGACGCTCGTCGTCGACTCGGTGTCCGACGGCCGCCCGCCCTCCATGGGGAGCACCAACATCTACCTGGAGAAGGTGGGGCTCGTGCTGCGCGTGCTGCGCGCGCTGCGCATCCTCTACGTGATGCGTCTCGCGCGGCACTCGCTCGGCCTGCAGACGCTGGGGCTCACGATCCGGCGGTGCACGCGGGAACTTGGCCTCCTCCTCCTCTTCCTGTGCGTCGCCATGGCGCTCTTCGCCCCCATGGTCTACTTGGCGGAGAACGAGCTGGTCATGGGGAGCGGCGGCGGCGGCGGTGGTGGTGGTGGCGGTGGCAGCGGTGCGTCTCGAGCATCCGAAGCGCCACCCAGCGAGGATTCCGGCATCGGAGGAGGAGGAGGCAGCCGAGCCCACGAATTCACGAGCATCCCCGCCTGCTACTGGTGGGCCATCATCTCCATGACCACGGTGGGCTACGGGGACATGGTGCCGCGCAGCGTCGCCGGCCAAGTCGTGGCACTCAGCAGCATCCTGAGCGGCATTCTGCTCATGGCGTTCCCCGTCACCTCCATCTTCCACACCTTCTCGCGCTCCTACGTGGAGCTCAAGGAGGGCCAACTGCGCAACCTCCACCTGAAGCACCGCGTGGCGCTGCTCAAGGCGCAGGCGACGTCGCCGTCGCTCGACAGCTCCCAGTTCTCGGAGCCCCTCGGACAGCGCGGTGGCCTCATCCCCAGCGGATGAGCGGCGTCACGCCGCTGACGACAGCGATGGTGAACAGTTTGCTGCTGCTGATGATGATGCTGATGATGGTGATGATGGTGGTGATGATGGTGATGATGGTGGTGATTGATGGCGACGGTGGCGATGAACGGTCCTTGCTTATAATGATGACAAAGACGCTCCAGCTTCAGCTGATGATTAATGATGTTGTCAATTATGAACATTTGCTATTGCTGATGCTGCCGCAACTGCTGTATGATGTTGATTATGATAATTAAAACGTGTTGCTGCTGTTCTTGATCATGAATAACAGCTGCTGCTGATGATGATTTTGCGACCGATGATGATGAATGATGATGGTGATTATTAGAGATTAATTTTGATCTGGCATGCCCATCAACACACAAAGATATGCAAGACACAGATCCCCCGTGTAGCCTTAGAGAACATAGGGGCATGTTCCCACATGCAGAAAATGTGACGTCTGGTGGAGTGGGACGGTGGCGTCGTGGTTATCACATTGCACGATGAACCCGGTGACCTGGGTTTGAATCTCGGCCATGGCAAACATTAGTGCCAAGTGACTTCTCAACCAGTCCCAGGCTCCCTTTGCAATAATCTGCAATGACCAGCTTGGCTAATTACGGTCAAATAATTTCACAACCGACACGGCGTAGGAAAGTTTTCTCATGTTTGGAGTGGATTTGCAAAGAGGCTATCACTTTGGTTCTTTCGGTAAAGTCACGTAGGTGAAAGTGAAAACCTGGTCACGTAGGTGACTTTACCGCCCCCCCCCCCCTGCATTCCTCCTCCCTGGCTCCTCCCCCCTCGTACCCTATATAATAGCTTGTCACAAATAGCTCTCTCTGCCCACTACAGTAATTCTGTTTTTTGCTGTGGCTGTCCCACTTGATGACGGAAGCTTGTGTTGCCTCGAAACGTCGTGATTTAATGTAGTTATTTTTATTTATTTTTTATTTTCACCTACGTGACTTTACCGAAAGAACCAAAGAGTTTGGATCCTTGCAGTCATGAAAACTTCAAATCTAGAATTAGGCTATCACTTATTATCACGACGTATTCATGATATACGATGAGTTTCGAGGGACCGCGCGATACGCATATAAGCGTGGTTTAAATTCATCCGGGGTTTGTCTAGATGGGTTAGCCCAGCACACCACATCCAGTAGGCTTTTCGTGGCTACTCGTCACGTGCCGACACTCCAGTCTACCGGCGATCCTGGGAAATATCCGGTGAGAAATCAAACGTTCATGATGATGAACCTCTGCTGCTGATGGTGCTTCTGATGATGATGATGATCATGAAGAACAGCCGCAGCTGCTGCTAATGCCCTGGGATGTACGAATGTAGTTTGGAGGTGACTGATAGCACGTCTTTGACTGTGGCCACCTCGCAAAGCCGTTCAAGAGAAGTTCCAGGTTTTCACTTTCAATGAAAGTACTTTGCGCCATAGTCGCCGTTGTAAACAGACTGCGCCTTACAGTTTGAGACGTCTGCGTGATGTTGCCCGATGTTTCTGGCCACGAACCCCTCTTGTTGGCGCAAAGGCGAAAACCTACAGCCATTGTGACACAAAACATTCAGGAAAATTCATGATAAATTATACGCTCACCAAATAGAACTTTATTTCTGTGTAAAACAACAATTTTGGCGTGTTGGCAAGCTATAAAACTTATTTTGAAAAATTGTGGTCACTGGTTTAAATAGCTGTTTGGCACCTGCCATTGCATGGACTCCAATGATGAGAAAACTAAACACCCACCGCGTTTTGTGTTTAGTTTTCTGCCCTTCCTCCGCACCTCCAATCAGCACGGTTGGCTACGTCGGGTGCGGAAGAAATGCAACACACGTACGTACAATGAGACTCCGGAGACGAGACTTTGCCCTGGACATCCGTCGACTCAGAACAAAACAAACACACAAAATCCGTGGATCTTATGGATTTTGTGACAGTGAGTCTCGATCTGACCCACGAGTTCATGTCTTGGCACGAGCGATTAGATAACATTTGACCTTCCGTGCCACATGGCGACGGTTCTCTGCAAGAGGGCCGATTGTAACGTCTCATAAAGCGTGCAGACTCTTAAAATAACAAATACAGGAATACCTCGATATACTAAGTAGGCGCGTTCCCAGGGCTTTCTATCGTATATTGAAACTTCGTATATGGAATCGCTTTTCACATCAGTACTGTGAGGATGCGTTCCCTGCCTTCATAAATCACCGTTTTAGATCATGTAAACGCTTCATAACTTACCATTCATATTGTAAACAAAGACAATTTATATTGAAAATAATATAATATTTTATACTGTACAGTATTTAACAAAAATTGACAAACTTCGCAATGCAAAAAGCTCAACAATCTATATCTTATAATAATTGTATTTTACTTACATAATGCTGTAGATCGATAAATGTATTATTTATTCATTTTAGTGTAAGCGTTAATAATTTTACTTTCTTTTCAGCTTTCTGTTCAAAGTAATACATCCAAAGTTCGTAATACCGAGACTCCGTTTATCGAATTTACGCATATCGAGGTATTCCTGTACTTTTTGTGAGGCCATGACTTTATTTTATACGCAAATCATTGTACGTATTGTAAATACGCTGCACGTATGTGGCGAAGTGGCTTTGCGCGTGTTTGTACAGACATCTCGGTGTGTACATAGGGGCGCGGGAGTGGCGGTGCAGCGGTCAGCGCGCTGCTCGGCGAAAACGGCGACTTGGGCTCCACTCGCGATCACGGCCAACATCGCCGATACTAGAACCAGTTTCCTGGCCTCCCCTAGGTCGACTCAGCCTTAAATGGGCGCTTAGTATGGTGCGTAAAACAACAACATCAGTGCCGGCGAGGCCGATGCGACTGAATGTGGCGTTCATGGAAACACCACCCCCTCGTGTGCCGTGCGGGCCTTAATAGGTGCTCGCTAACAATGCATTTGACCTTCTTGGTTCTTTCGGAAAAGTCACGTAGAAGGGAAGTAATAAAATAATAAAAATAAAACATGATAAAATAATTCTCACGACGTTTCGGCCACAACGCAAGCAGCCGTCCTCAGGTGAAGAATGAAACACCACCAAGCTTGGAGCGTATATTTAAGCTGGGTTGGAGGGGGGAAGAAGAGCGCCTTGACAACATAATTTGCATATCAAGAGGAATTTTTATTGTTTTATTTTTATTATTTTATTATTTCCCTTCTACGTGACTTTACCGAAAAAACCAACAAGATGAATCCCTGCAGTCACGAAAGCTTTAAATCGAAATTTAAGGCATTTGACCTGATGATAATCTGTCCCCTTAAAGGCTGAACGGGGAAACCTTTGCCTTCGCTTTGTGCCCTGTATATACTTGCACAATGTACACGCTCGCGTACTGTATATATATACAGATGCAGAGGCAGGCGTGCAGCGTGGGTCGGTGAGATGTCTCGTGCGACCCCCCCAGACGCTCGCGGGAGAGGGGACAAACAAACAAATAAACACGCGTGGAAGGGTGCCGGGACACGTTACCTCGCGTCGGCGGGATGTTGACTCCCTCGTCTGGTATACAGGAGGTCGTGGGTTCGATCCCGAGCCCGACGATGCCTGCTGTATATTTGGAGTTTGCATGTCGCTCTCTCTCATCATCATCACGGTGACCAGGAGATGTTAACTCCCTCGCCTGGTATACAGAAGGTCGTGGGTTCGAACCCGAGCCTGACGATGCCTGCTGTTTATATGGAGTTTGCGTGTCGCTCTCTCATCATGATCACGGTGGCTAGGATATGTTAACTCCCTCGCCCGGTATACAAGAGGTCGTGGGTTCGATCCCGAGCCTGACGATGCCTGCTGTATATTTGGAGTTTGCGTGTCGCTCTCTCTCATCATCATCACGGTGGCCAGGAGATGTTAACTCCCTCGCCCGGTATACAGGAGGTCGTGGGTTCGATCCCGAGCCCGACGATCCCTGCTGTATATGTAGAGTTTGCGTGTCGCTCTCTCACCATCATCACGGTGGCCAGGAGATGTTAACTCCCTCGCCCGGTATACAGGAGGTCGTGGGTTCGATCCCGAGCCCGACGATCCCTGCTGTATATGTAGAGTTTGCGTGTGTGTCTCTCTCTCTCCCTCCCCGTGGTCGCGTGGATTTTTCTCCGGGTCCTCCTGTTTTTCATTCCGCATTTGTAATCAACGTCAGGCGTTTAGAGTCTTTGGCTGCAGTAAATGTCCACATGATGATACACCACTTCCTTGAGCTCTCACTATTATTTGTGGCCGGGTCGCTTTTGAAAGAGAGATGTACACGTACAGCTCTGTGGGCCTCACCTGGTAAAATAAAAATAGATTCAGTTTAGTTTAGTTTCCATAAAATATGTTTTGTGATTATATCATGACAATATAAATGTGTCGTTAAACCCACCACCACCCGACAGAAACAATTAGTAAGGGACTTGTCACGTTAACAAAACGCGCCAATTAGTAACTATTCTTAGGTTACTAATAGGGTTTTTCCCCTTTTTTCTGGCAACAAAACTGACACCTTGTTGCCAGAAAAAAAGGGGAAAAACCCTATTAGTATATTTTGGTACTGGCAAAGGAGATCCCATGATGATATTCTTAGGTTTTTTCGATAAAGTCACGTAGGTAAAAAAAATTTACAAAAATAAAATAAAAAATAAAAATCACGAAGTTTCAGAGGCAACACAAGCTTCCGTCTTCAGGTGGAACCGTCACAGCACGATAGCTGTATCAAGTGAGATACAGCTATCGTGCCGTGACGGTTCCACCTATTTAATTTTACTGTTATTAATTAAAAAAATTACCTACGTGACTTTACCGAAAAAAACATAAGAATATAAATCCTTGCAGTCACGAAAGCTTCAAATCTAGAATTAGTTACTACTTCAGCACAACGGCGTGTTGGAGAGTAAACCCACAACGTTTATAATTCGCGTTCTGTGGCGTCCCGCCGGTAATTACAACCAGCATCATCAGCCGACAGCCAGAATTGAGTAGATATCCTCCTTCTGTTTTTGTCTTAAACAGACGGGGGGGGGGGGGGGGTACAGGTGCGATGCCCTGTGGGATGGTTAAGGTATTGATATAAATTTCAATGGATATTTTTTTATTGCTTTGGTTATTCACAGTTAATTAACATACAAAATGTATGTATCTTCTTGGTTCTTTCGGTAAAGTCACGTAGAAGGGAAATAATAAAATAATAAACATAAAACAGAATAAAATAATTCTCACGACGGTTCGGCCACAACACAAGCAGCCGTCCTCAGGTGAAGAACAGGTCTGTCGGAAAGACAGCGTCTGATGCTTCTACATGACTTTACTGAAAGAACAAAAAAGATTAATCCATGTAGTCACGAAAGCTTTAAATCGAAAAATGTATGTACATCACGCATGCACATTATGTACGTACATTGTGTATTTACATTATGTATGCACATTCTGCCGTTTCTTTAGTTTAGTTTGCTTTGACATCGAGCACTCTGAGCCATTAACGCTGAAGACCTGGGTTCGAATCCGGGTTCCAGCCGCCCATGATTAAACCGGCTTCTCAAGCGCAGTGAGTTGATTGTCTTTGCCCAGTCGCCACTGACTTGACATGGAGACCCATAGACTCATATAGTGACCCATACTCTCACTTAGTGAACTACAGACTCCGATAGAACCACATACACTCACTTTGTGAACTACAGACTCACATAGTGACCCATAGACTCACAAAGAGACCAATACACTCACTCTGTGAACTACAGACTCAGATAAAGCCACATACACTCACTTTGTGAACTACAGACTCACATAGTGACCCATAGACTCACATAGATACCTATAGACTTACATAGAGACCCATAGAATCATATAGTGACCCATACTCTCGCTTAGTGAACTACAGACTTAGATAGAGCCACATACACTCACTCTGTGAACTACAGACTCACATAGAGACCCATAGAGTCACCCATACACTCACTCTGTGAATGACAGTCTCGCATAGAGACCTACACTCACACAGACCAAGTTGCGATTAAGCTGAGTCCCCAAGCTCAGTGAGTTGATGGTCTTAGCCCAAGTCGCCTATGTTCATCTTGTGAATAACTTTATTCATTTGGCCGTGTCGGGTGGAGGAGGGTTTGACGACGACGTATGACATCTGGCCCAAAAAGAATCTTGATGCCGGTCACGAAAACCGACGTGCTCCAGAAAAGGCTTGGCCATTATCGTTCGATTTGGGGAAGCCTTTGGTTGATGCTATCACACAACAAAAATGAGTGAAACGCACTCGGCCTTGGTGCGTTCGGCAAAATACGATGAGCAGTTCTTGACGAGAACTGCATTGTGGTGCTCTTGTGTCAGGTGGCCATCCAACTGAATTGGAACAAATGTGAACCGACTTGGTAATTGTTTTTTAACCCTTCTATCTGCCAACAAAACTGAGACCTTTTTTACAAGGAGTCATGTTTGTATTGACCACAATACCTGCAGTCATAATGCAAACAAAAATATAACTCTGATAATGTATGCACTGTCCTTGAAGTTGATTGGTCCACACCCGAGACAGCTTTTCTTAGAGCCTAGTCTCACATGGTGTTGGACCACATGACGCCAAAAGGCGCACATTATCAGAGTTATGTTTTTTGTTTGCATTATGACTGCAGGTATTGTGGTCTATGCAAACATGACTCCTCGTAAAAAAAGGTGTCAGTTTTGTTGCCAGATTAAAGGGTAAAAAAACAATTATCATATTTTTTACTAGCAAATGAGGTTCCAATGGTGTTCACAGGCAAAGATGTCCAACTGTGGACTGGTATCGTCCTCACTAGGACTCATCAGTACAGTACGGTCACCAACGCTCACTGCTGCAGAGTCTGCCTCTGGCATCCATCCACTTTGGAGTCCATGCAGCCCGTTAGCCTCGCTAATATCAACAACCATCTTGTGTGTTCATGACAATGTCCCTGTTGTCGTGGATTTTTGACGCCATTTACAGAATTTGCAAGTCGCCTACGTCCAGAATAGCAAACCAGATTTTTTTTTGTTATCAAAATGTAAGTTCATATATATATATATATCTCGGATGATATCTTACGGGTGTTATCGTATCCCCTCGTCGTACAAACGGACCGACAGCTTTCAACCAGAGTTCGAAGGCATGAAAGGGCCACTTGAAGGATGACGTGTTTGAGTTCTGCTGCGAAAATAAATCTTCGGTAGCGATTTTCTGTTGCATGGGGAGCAAGGGGGGGGGGGTGATTCCCCGCCCCTGTGAGATTCCCACGTAGTTTCATCGTCTTGTGATATGACACAATCACGATGTTTATTTAGACTTGCAGGGGGAATCCGATGAGCTATGAAGCTCTTTTTCACAGATGTCCAGTATGGGCACTGGGGTCAGCGAGTTACCACGGCAACATCACGCGAAACAAAAATCAGATCGGAGTGCAACATCGAGAGAAAGATGAGCAAGTCGCTAAATATAAATAAATACATAATGCATGCACGACACCCGGGGGAACAGAGTGGGCTGGGAAGACAGACAAGACAATTGTTGTGACACTTTGTACCACCAGGTGCTTGTCCCTCCAGCACTCACCCCATGGTGGACTGCTTTGACAGATAACGTGCCATACGATTTCATATTTGCCCGCGCTGGGAGAATGTACTTTTGCTTTTGATTTCACACACACATAACAGATCACACACATACACATACCAGATCACACACACACATACCAGATCACACACACACACACACCAGATCACACACACACACATACCAGATCACACACACACACACCAGATCACACACACACACACACACCAGATCACACACACACACACATACCAGATCACACACACACACACCATATCACACACACACACACACCAGATCACACACACAGCGTGTGTTTAACGATGGACATACGGTACCGTAGAACATCCAGACGTAACGCACAGATACGCAGCAGCATACCATGCTTTCCCACCTGATGACGGACGCTTGTGCTGCGCCCGAAACGTCGTGATTTATTTTATTTTATACCTACGTGACTTAACCAAAAGAACCAAAGAGTATAGTTTCGTTCATTTTGAGCTCTTCTTTTATCCTCACAATTGTGACATTTATAAATGAAGCTGTAATCAGTCATCGTCGTCATCATTCATTCATCGCCATCGTCTGCCGCAGCACCAGAGGTCGCAAACCGGTTTTGATTCCTTACCCGTACCCTACCCGAAATGAGTGACAAACGGTTACTCACCAGTGACTCACGGCCTACCCTTACCCGTACCCGGCCGCACCAGGTTCGCAAACGGCTACCTGTACCCGTACCCGGCCGGGTACGGGTAGCCAGGTATCGGGTAGGGTACGGGTATCGGGTACGACCTCTGCGCAGCACCGTAATCAGTGTTGTTTATAATTACGATGGTGGAGAAGCGAAGGGGCTGCCTGGCGTTGCCCATTGGGTGGTGGTGAAGCGCCCGCTGGGGAGGGAATTAAACGGACAAAGAGTCGCCACCCTCCAAAACGATAGCGGCCCCTGGGCTACTCTCAAACTCAATCTGGCCCTGCGTGTCTAAATATGTAATTGGGTATTTGTACATTATGCACGCACGGACTGTGTGAATTGAAGTGGGTATGCGATGCATTGTGTTGCTGCATCGTGGGTGGAACGGGGGCTTCATAGTTTCATATCGATTCCTGGGCTCACGATGCACATATTGAATCACGCGTCGGTGTGTCTGTAACGATCAATTTGGCGCGCGCGGTAGTGTAGTGGTTAGCGCACTGCGCTACGAACCTGCCGAACCTAGTTCGATTTCCGCCCACGGCCAATAAGACGTGACGAGTATCTGAACGCTCCGGGGAGTCCCCTAGGTCGGCCCAGCCTTAAATTAGCTCCTGATGCAGTGAGTCAACATCAATCAGCCTTGGGGAGACAAAGGCGACCGAGTGTGCTGGCCTTCATAGGTGTGCTCGCTATAGGGCACTTGCCACAATAGCATGTTAAAGGCTACACGGGGATCTTTGTCTTTGTAATCACCAATGTTTTCTACACGTGTGTGTGTGTGTGCTTTATGTGCTGGGTTCACGTAGACCCCCTGCAGCCACGAGAGACCGCCACGTTCACCACAATGTTAAACAACATTGAATTGATTCTTGAATCGAGTTACGTCCCATGAATGGCGATAATTAATTAAATCACAATGGGGAAGAATTGGTACACTTATTGTACGGCACACAATTGTTACACTTATTGTGTAACAATTGTGTACCGTACCCTCTGTGCGCGAATGCATTGTGACAGTTTGTACAATGTACATCTTACAATGTGAGATGGTGATTACGCATGATGGTGGTGTCACGGTTGGCATGCTGGGGTTGTCATCTCGGAAACCCACGTGAGTTCAATTCCTGACCACGGCACACATCAACACCAATTTGTGTCGAGACGATGCCTTAGACCCCCCCCCCTCGGTCCACTCGGCCTCAACGCCAACACTGGGAAGACAAAGACGGCCAGGTGTGGTGCTCGCCATACCACCACCCTGCTGTGTGTGGTGTTGTCAGCCTCGGTTTGGTACTATGGTACGTACCTCGGTATGTACTTTGGCTCGA